CCTGTTCAAAACAAGAATTAGATTTCTCTCGCTCTAACATTTTCTGTTAATTTCTTCAGCAACTTCCCACTAAAACACTTATCTGTTCCCCTTATTAAACCTACTGGGAAGATCTGCAGTGCTCTGTTCTCCTCTACTAGCCTTTGTCCTCCCCAAATAAGACACTTTAAAGCTTGACAGTGTATACTTCAAAATTATTTATGAAATTATACTGAAATTGAGTATATCACCTTAATATTTTATTTTTGACACTCAATTTTTGACACTCAAATTTTGCCTTACAGGAAATATGGTTTTGAGATCTCCAGATCTAAAAGTGCAAGCTGCAATAGCTCTAGGGATGTCTCCTTTTTAGTGAGGACACATGAAAGGAATTTGTATGTGCTCCAAAAATGGAAAAAAGGTATTTTGTCCTGAGCAGGAAGTCACAGAACAAAAACAACACAGCAGTGCTAAAGTAAGCCATCGTACCATTTTTAATTGATAAATTTTTAAGGTCTGACTGAACATGGACAGCCTCTTTAACAATATTATACACACCTCTCAAACCCAAAGTAACTACAATACAGCTTTTACCTGCAGTAACCACAACGAAAATGGTAAGTCAAATTCCGTACTTGTATATTAGCAGAAATATGATCTAATGACCAAGGTCAACCTGTCGGCAGCCTAAATACAGACCTATACCTGTCAGCAGGAAGCACTCCTCTAATTTCCTCCTAAGATTAAGTTCTTTCCCACCAAGACAATTTCCACAGCCAAGAGAACGTAATTCTGCCTTCCTAAATTATTAGGCTGTAAGGAAAACAAGGTATCTTACCTTACTGCAGACCGTCAGAACATTTTCCCCCAGTGAAACAAGATATCTTTATACAGAATCATAAAATGGTTTGGGTTGGAATGGGCCTTAAACATCATCTAGGTTCAACCCCCCTGCCATAGGCAGGGACATCTATGACAGGCTTCACCTCAGTTGTGGAAGACTGATGTTTCTCCAAGACTGTCAGGTGTGTCAATCTTATTACTGGTGGGGGAGGGAAAGGAGGGAGTCTGACAATCAATCTGATAAGCTTTCCTATTCAACATGCAAAGACCCACGCATCTGCAACAATGAGACTTTCACAGCAGCTGCTTCCACAGCAGAAAGCAGGATCACCCTTCAGTGCATCTAAGACAAAGCACATACTCTTCCTTAGGTAGATGAGCAGAAGGGATCACAACTTCTGAAAAACAGCAACAGTTAAAGACCTTAAATTCTAAACTTAAAATTTTAAAACCTGTCAATCTCGATAGCCATACAATCACAAACTAGATCTAATTACAAGAGAGATGACTTCTGAGCTCTGAGACCACTCAATCAAACATTTAACAACAACAAAACATTAATCCTTCTGTTTACCACAGAACAAGTGCATGGAGTTGCGAGGACTAATCCAAGAGAAAGGAAGAGAAAGTCATAGCAATCAAATGCACTTTAACACACTGGAAACATGACTCTTCCTGCAGGTGTGAGACAGGGATTGAGATGGGGATAAGGCAGCAAAAATGCTCTGCACTTGTAGGGCTGCATGGCCTGTCCCACACACCCTCTGTCTGCCTCCCTCCTGCACAGCCAGCTGGTAAGGGAAACATGCTGACATGGCACAAGGAGCTGCAGCAGCAGTAACTGGAAACAGCCAACAACGGTAACCCAAAGGCACACTGCCAGGACACACTAATTCTGTGATAAAGTTTCCTGTCTGTATTTTTTTAGATTAGGCAATTTATATATATATGTGTATATATATAGTCCCTGCTATGGTACTTCTTCCTGCATCCCTTCACAATATGAGTACTTGCAAGTTTCCTCTGGCAGCTACAAAACCTCCAAGCATCTCTGCAATGACCCATGTTCTGTCCTGCCTGAGGCTGGTTTGGGTTTATTTCCCCCATCTTTTATTTGGTGAGGCAGAAGAAGGTTGTTAAATACCTTTACCCCTGCTTTTCTCCTGCAAAAGGAGATGCATGAGCACATGCACGTATGAGAAAGAGGTATCACTGCAAGTGCTCTCAGAAGGGGTCACACCAGGAAGCCACAGAGCCAGCCTGCCCTCAGAAGTCTTGCAGCAGCAGTATCTTCTGGTGAACGTGCCACAGGTGTGATAGCAGAGCAGCGCAGCCAGGCCAAACTCCACCTGGTCCTGGCACAATGTGTACCGTATCCAATGCCCTCTTTCCATAGCCCAAATGAAAGAAGGGTCGACCTCAGCAACACTTGGCTGAAGTTTTCAAACAGTTTTGCTTCTATAACTAAAAGGTAAAACATTTTTCTGTTTCTACCCCAGCAAGGAGGTTATGGCTTGATTAAGACTCACATAATTGAAAAATCAAAACCACCACTCACTAAAAGAAGAAAAAACAACTTTTCCTTCTGTTTGTCCTCAGGTATAGACTTCTTTCTGACACCTAGGGAACAGCAGATACTCCACGTACCTTGGAACAAGCAGCAGATCTGAGAGGACTCTTCCCTACAGACAAACATAACCTGCAGTCATAGCCAGAAACTGTCTGACACACAGTGATCCAAATGGTTAGTCAGAAATGTGACTCAGTGTCAGAGACTCCCTTTAAAAAGCCTTGTAAGGGAAGGGCCCAGATGTCCCTTTAGGAAAAAGAGGGGAAAGAAGTTTCAAGAGACAGAACATTTCTCTTTCACCAGTAATCCAAGGTCTGCTTCCAGCCAATACCCGTCTTCACATATCTGTGGACCTTAGCACCCTGAGTGTCAGTGAAATGGCACAATGAAGAGTAATCAGCAGCGTAAGCAAGGCTACCTTTTAACAGCACCGGGCAAACTGACAGCCGTCCAGACAAGTTTTTGTCCTAGAAAACTCGCGATCTGGGTTGACAGGATGCAACAGGTGAACCAGACAGAGAAATGGAGAGCTTAGCGGAGGAGAGGAAAGCTAACAAGTTACCACAAAGCAAGTAAACATCTGACAGCACGTCCGGAGACGACAGAAATCCGGGCTCTTCACATGCACAGTAACAACACGAGAAATTGACACCCCTCCCCAGACGCTTCCGACCTCCTCAGCAGAGGGAACCTCTTAGACGGCGCGACCGCGCAGCTCCCGCCAGCACAGACCGCGCACGGCGGCGGGGAAAGGGCTGCGGACCCACGCCGAGAAAACCGACCCCTTCCCTCCCGCCCGCGGGGCTCGCTCGGGGGCTGCCACCAGCCCGGCCCGCACCCCGCCAGGCCCCGGGCGGCTCGACAGGACGGGCCGCCGCTGTCCCCCTTCCTTCCAGCACCTTCCAGCGCCGTCCGGCCCGGGCCGACCCGCCCGACAGCGCGACGCGGGCGGGCGGCGCTACGAGCCGGCTCCGGGTCCCGGGGAACGCTGCGGCCGCTCGGGCCGGCGCAGGCCGCGGGGCGGGACAGCGCGGCCCCGTCCGCCGCCGTGACCCTCGGACACGCGGGGCGGCCCCGCGAGCGGCTCGGAGGCGGCGGCACCGCCGCCCCCGCGGCCAGAGCTGGCGCGATGAGTTACCGGCGCGGGCCGCGGCTCCGGGCGATGCGCGGCCGCCGCCGCCCCCCGTGGCGCAGGTGCCCGAGCCGCGGGCGGGAGGGGCGGCTCGGCCCGGCGTTGTTCCCTGCGTTGTTCCCGGCTCTGTTCCCGGCGCCGCGGCGGAGCTGCCGTGATGTCACGCGGGCCTGGGTCACGTGCAGGCTCCGCCCGCCCCGCTCCGCCCCCGCGGGTCCGGCGGGACGCGAAGGCTCCGCGTCCCCGGTGCCGTCCCAGCGGCGCAGAGTTACCGCCGCCTGGAGCCCCGTGCGCGGCGCTCATCGCCCTCGGCTCAGCCCGGAGGAGCGGAGCGAAACCACCACCACCAGCAGCAGCAGAACAATCACAAAGCAGGTGCCGCAGGAACTGCGCGCACTCCTCCTCCGCGGAGAACCTTTTCTTTCCAGCACCCTCCACGAACCTCCTCACTGAGGAGGTATCGGCAAAAAAACCAACAACGCGGCTTCATGCTCTCCTACAGATACGAAATAGAATTGGTTTAAATTAACCAAGCATTCGAGCATGTGCAAATTAAGCACGTTATTCTGTCCAGCTGAACTTCATGTATTGCACCAAGCTTGCCCTGACGTAACCCCTGTGCTTCATGAACGATTTGGCACCTGTAAGACCTTACACACAACTTCTAATGCTGCAAACTACAGAAAGTTTTAAGCAAATAAACACGTACAAAAGAGCTGGGTTTTGAGCCATTGGGCTTCATGACTCCAAGATTTCTTTGCAATCGCGAGAGCTATGTTTCCTTTTTTTAAAAAAGAGAAAGCTGAGAACCCCACTACTAGGTGGAGAGGAGCACTAAATATCACTAAATTCGCTTAACCGCCTATGATTTCCCCCTCTATTTACTCGGCACCTACTGGATCCTCGGCCAACGATCCAGCGGATGGACACCCGGCAGCAGAGGCCGGACTTCATCTCACACTCGTCTAATTCCACCAAGCTTCGTAAGAAACTACCAAAACAGGGCAAAAACCGCCAACCCTGGGCTTCCTCTTTGCCAAGAGTCAGGAGCAGCAGCAGGTTTCCACAGGCATCCTCAGGCTGACTCGAGGGCACTTTCCCTACTCCTGCTCACGAGGAGTTTACCCAGAAGCGCAGGGACGGTTGTCAGAACACCGTGAAAGCCTTGTGTCCTAGAGCAAAGCCGCGGCGGGGGAAGGAAAGCAGCGCTTTATTCGCGGTGCCGCGGCGCTTCACCCTCGCTCCCGACCCGCTCCTACCGAGCGCCTCCGCGGCTGCAGCCCGGGACACAGCCTCCGCAGGGCTGACAGCAAAGGTCGACGCCGCCACGGCGGCGGGCCCAGAGCGGCTCCTCCGCGGGCCGAGCGGGGCCGTCCCGTCCCGGGATCCTCCTCCTGGGGGCGGGACCGGCGCGGGAGCCTGCCGGGGCTGTGCACTGGAAAATCGCGTCCGCGCGGGCCCGCGGTCCGCGGTGCTGGGTTCCGGGCGGTGTGCGAGCGCCATGGCGGCCGTGCGGGGCGGCGCTGTCCTGCTGCTCCTGGCGCTGTGCCTGCAGCCGCCGCCCGCCCGCGCCCGCAGCCTCCGCTTCGTGACGCTGGTGAGGGGGACGGGGGGCGGCGGGGGGCGGCCGGGCCTGGCCGGGGTGATCGGGCCGGGCCGCGGTGACGCGGTGCCGCCCGCAGGTGTACCGGCACGGAGACCGCTCGCCCATCAAGGCCTTCCCGCGGGACCCGTTCCAGGAGAGCGCCTGGCCCCAGGGATTCGGGCAGCTCACGCAGGTGCGAACGGGTCGGGGCGGCCGGAGTCGGGCCGGGGGACGGCCCCTCCGGTAACGCCCGGTGCCGTTGCAGGTGGGGATGCGGCAGCAGTGGGAGTTGGGCCAGGCCCTGCGGCGGCGCTACCGCGGCTTCCTCAGCGACACGTACCGGCGGCAGGAGGTCAGTGTCGGCCCGGGGCTCGGGGGCAGCGGCGCTCTCGGCCGCCCCAAGGTGCGGGTGGCTTCTTTGGGAAGGGAAACGCTAGCGCTGGGCCGCCTCTCCAAGTATTTTCGTTCCTTAGCCCGTTCCCACCGCAGGAGGAAGAAGAAGAGGGGCCCGAGCGCAGGCTCTGTGCTGAGCCTGGCCGCGGGTCGGCCGTGTCTCAGCGCTGCCCTCGCTGAGGGAGCAAAGGCAAATCCGGCCAGAGCAAATCCAGGAGCTGCAGCACCGCTGGGAGACTGATAGAACCGCCTTCTCTAAAGTCCAGGAAACAAAACAGCAGTGCTGTGTTGTAGCTGGTACTTGTTTCTCACTCGAGATTTTGAGACTTTTTTTTGTCGGAGTAGCTGACAAGAATGCAGCCCGTGTTGGTCCTGCCCTCCCCAGTGCACTTCAGGTACAACTTCACCAGTCTGTACATATAAGCAGTAGTTACTGACCAGAAATGACCCTGTCATTTGCTTCCACCTGTAAGGTATTGACAGCTTCAGTCCCCTAAAGCCATTAATTTCTCTCTCTGTCACCAAATGTTGCCACACTTATAATAGTTGAGAAACTGCTAGGTTTCTTTTGAAAAAAGTTACAGAGCCCTTGTGGAACTGTGTGCTGAGCACAGAGGAAAATGTGAAATATCAAAAAAAGCAAGGAAATAGAACCAACAACCCCCAAGTACCCCTGCTGGTTCTAAGAATCCCCATACAATTTTCTGTCTTTGTTTCTCCCCTTATAGGCCTCCCCAGTAAGAACCCAGCTTGACATAGTTCAGATTACATCCCTTCTTTGACATTTGCTTCATCAACAAAACTTCCAGCATTGGCTGAAACACAGATCCCTTAACCTTCCTCAATAGTTCCTTTCCAAACATACTTCACTCTTACACAGCTTTTGCGAGTTGAAGCTGTTTTCGTTCTCTTGCTTGAGAAGGAAAAACAAACCAAGGCGTGTGCAAACAAAAGCTGTTCTGCTAACCAAGCCTGAACTCCTGCTTGAGTTGAGCAACCTCCCATGTAAGAAGTGTTGCCTCTGGGTGACACCATATGACCATTTGTCACCTGACTCAGCGACAAGCTGGAGCCCTGGCAGAAGGTGCTGAAGAAAGCATGCACACCCAGGGCTTAATTGTTTCTTTTATGACACTTCAAGAATTAGATCCTTATCTTTTAAAATATTACCGTTTTATTTCTTCAGAATTTACCAAGGATGAAAGCAAACCTGTCTAATGACTACATTATTTTTTTTCAAGCCACAGTTAAGAGGTAAAAGTGGGTAGAAATTGATGTTGGAGAAAAGACGAGTTTTTTTGTTTTTCTTGTGACTGTTAAGTTCTGAGATACGTTTCACATGAGAGATATTACACATATTTTTTCTTGTGAGTGTATATATTTTTTTCTTATGTTTCTCCTAACATTTAAAAAGAATCCTTATCTTTACATTGTATTTCATTCTTTGGGCTTTCTATTCTTGTTTCAGATTCAACATGCTATTTTCTAGGACATTCTTTTATGATTTCCTGTTGTTCCTCTTGTTTTATCACTGGTTTCTCTCCAGTCTCCCCTTAACTGTTTTCAGTACACAGATACCAGAATACTAAAGTTTTGCCATTTTGACCTTCTGAACATTGCTTTATTTTTCTCATTTCTCTTTTTTTCTGGCTCAGATCTCTCTCTTCTGAGCTCTGGAATGATAGGTCTTGGCCCATTAATCCCAAGAGCCTACAATGATCAGATAAAATCCCAGCTCTCCCTTTTCTTTCTTCCTTTCCTAGTCAGATCACTCGTCTTTGTTTCTGAGACAGAAAAACTGAGGTTGGAGAAGCTGGTTTTTTTTCATGGGCACAGCTGGTCATTCCTAGAACCGAATGCAGGAGCTTGCCCCAGCCCTGCTCTGTAAATATAGTGCGTTTCCTATTCTGTGCCACTGTTATATGCATCTCTGTCTTGCTCTTCTCTGACTCTTCCTCATTCACACTCCTTTCTATCTGTAACCTCTGCACAGTGCACCTGGCTATCCCACTAATCCAGACCAGACCGCTCCAGTATTACACACCAGTGTCTTTGTGTCTGTCCCTTACAGTTTCATACAGGCTGACATCAGCAGACTTGGTCACTTCAACTCCTTTTATCCTGTTGTCCTTGAGCAGCTGCAGGGCACTTGGCAATGTTCCTCGGCGAGTGTATGGTCCTGTGCCCGAGCATTGCCACCTGCAGTAGCATTACTAATGGTGCGTGTCCCTGTCCTTGCAGATCTTCATCCGCAGCACAGACTGTGATCGGACGCTGATGAGTGCAGAGGCCAATCTGGCAGGCCTCTATCCCCCAGAGGGACAACAGATGTTCAACCCTAACATCTCCTGGCAGCCCATCCCTGTGCACACAGTGCCCGAGTCTGAGGAAAGGGTAAGTTCATCTCAAAGACATGTATTGAGTACTGAAGTAGTGTAGTCTCCAAAAATATTTGCTACAGTCTTGATTCAGATTGTCTTGAATTTCTCCTGGGACCTACCTTGCAGAAGTTTTTCTGTTCTCAGAAAAAGATGAGAATTCAGGGGCTGTGTTCACTTAACATATCAGGTCCAAAACTCCAGCAGACCACAGACTGGAGTATGCCAGCAGGAAGTACTGAGGCTGTTTATAGGTGCACCTGCTACTCAGGGTTTTGTTACAATTGCACATGTGGACTGCAAATTCTGTACTTCGGTGTTCTTGGTGACCTGGCTGCTCTTGTTGTCTCTGCCCAGCTACTGAAGTTCCCTTTGACCTCCTGTCCACGATATGAACAGCTACAGACTGAAACACGGCATTCAGCAGAATACATAAATAAGACCAAAGAGAATTGGGTAAGTGATTGTTTGCATGAGATAAGGTGGTCTTAGGCTTGTAGTTAAAGTATTATCACGTCTATATAATCAGAGCTCTGAGAAAAGGGTAGAGATACCAGTGCATGTAATACAGTATGAGATTAGAAAATTGAAGGTCTTTCTCTCTTCTCAAACCTACAGCAATTCCTGAAGATGGTGGCAAATGAGACTGGGATCCGGGATATCTCGCTCGAGAGTGTATGGAGTGTGTATGACACACTGTTCTGTGAAGTAAGTTTGGCCATCACCTTACAACCACTGGAATTTGGTCTTTAGAATTCACTGGATTTGGTAGACAGTATTTTGCAAAATCCCATGAAACAACTTTTCACTCTACAGTTAGAAGTAATCTTCTAATTTCAGAGTAATAACAGTTCCCACTCACTAGAGGCATGTGTCAAGAATTACCTATTTTTGCACCTTATAACCTCCCAGTCTGTAGCTTATATCATGTCAGGAGTCAGAAAAAGTCCCACCTGCTCTTGAAAGTCATTAGAAAATGACTGCAATCTGAAGTCTTTAGATCTCTCTGGACAAATCTGAGTCAAGTAAGGTAGAAATGAGATCTCTGCAAACCAAAGAAGTGTTAACTTTATGATTTAAGTTGGGAGCTTAAATTAGGACTATTCCTGGTGCTACCTCTATCTCTCTGTCACTTTAAATCAATCAGTTTTCTTTCTGCGCTTCTGTTAATGCCATCTCTAAAAGTAAATAACGCTCTTCTAGGTTGAGATTCACCCACATCTGTTTTTTGACCTTTATTATAAGGTCCCTTGCCAGAGAAAGACCGTAGAGACAAATGTTACTCTTTTACTATCTGGGGTGGTGCACTAAACTCTATATTCGCATGTATTTTTGTTGAAAGTACATCTCATGAAGGCTTAAACAAAATCAAAACTTGGGTTAGCTGTTCTGTGATAACGTTACAGTTGTTACATACAACTTTCTTTGTGTATAACTGTACAGCACGATGAAGTAAATTACAGACATCTTTCATGTCAAATTAGCAAATTAAAGAAGAAGCAGTAAACCCAAGCATTTTGACACTGGGTCACAATAATTCTATGGAGGTGCAAGACTACTTCGCTTGCTGGCAGTGTTATACAGTGGTATGTGCTGTTTTGGGGATGTAAGAGATAAATCAGCGTGGAATTGCACTTTGCTGTATAAAGTAGCAGCTTGGGTTGCTGCAAGCAAAGAATATTTCAGTCCAGAGCTGCACTGCACTATGTGAATTTGCCCTTTGTGTCACAAACCCAGTCTCCTGTCTTGTAACAATCACAGTGAATCAACTTTTGTTGGTAACAAAAAAATCCTTTGGTCAGATAGATCAAGAATTTAAAATCTTCAAGAGTCACTTAGTGAGCTTGCAAATGGCCTGAAAGGCCAGCTGAAAACCACTATCATCCCCAAGAACTTGGAGATGTCCCAAAACAAAACCAGAATGTTTTTAAGGAAGGGGAATTTCACTCTCAGAACTACACTCTCAGGCTGATCGGTCTCTTCAGCTGCTTTGGTTTTCATCCTTTTTTCTAAGTCATGCAAAAAGTGCCCTGAAGGGAAGGATTGTTTTTCTCACCTGAGCCAGTAGATTCATTCTGGCAGGAGACAATAAAAAAGTCCGAGAAATTGCTGAACTTACCAGCTATTTATTCTCTTTGTAAATTAATGAAGAACTAACTAAAAATCTGAGTTGCTAATGGGAATTTCTCTGAACCGCTCAGACAGAATGGGCCCTTAAGGATATTCAGCCTCATCTTGTGGCAGTCTAATGGGATATGTAACAGAAAATTGTTCCAAGTAGTGTTGGGAAACCACAACTGCTGTTTGTCTGCCATTATAACTAATCCTTTCTTGTAATGGATTGGCTGCAAAGCAAGTTCTTCTCTTGCTTCCCAGTTTTCTGGCTTCTGGAGTCTGAGTACAGGGTTTTGTCGGTGGTGCATCCCATTGTTACGGCCACAGAGCACTTCCTAACTTTCTCCAGTGCCCTTCAGTGGCCCACAGAACCTTCAAGGAAACTGTACTGCAGGTACACCAGAAACTCCAAGTTTGTGTTCACTCACTTTTTTTTTTTTTTTTCTCTTTGACCGCATGCCCTCTGCAGGGCAGAATCAGCCACATGTAAAGTTAATGCCCTAAGATTATGGTTTCAGTGTTACAACATAACCCTGCACTCCAGTTGTGCTTTCACAGAAATATAGCTCCTAGGTTGTAAACTTTATGCTTCTCATTATTAGTTTCTAAAACAACATTAAAACCCACATATATCCTTTGTATGCAGCACAGCAGTGTGAGGTCAGAAGCATAAATAGGAAAGTGGCATATTGCATATTTAAGAGTATAGGAAATCAGTAGCTGTATGGGCAGGGCTCCAGATACCCTCCCACTCTCTGAGTAATGTGCAATCTGTGCTACCTGCAGATGAGTATTCTGTTTCTCTTTCTAGCAAGCCCACAAAATGGATTTGCCTGTATGGGTGACACCAGATGTCATGATGCAGTTGAAGCAACTAAAAGACTTTGGTTTTGAATTTCTGTTTGGGATCCACAATCGGGAAGAAAAAGCTCGTCTGCAAGGCGGTGAGTGCACCAGGGAGGGAGCCTCCTGCTGCTCTGTCTGGGTTTTGCCTCTTACCAGCTGTTCTCTTTCCTCAGGGGTCCTGCTGGATCACATAAGGAGAAACTTAACCAAAGCAGCAAATGTTTCTGCCCATCAGAACCTGAAACTACTTGCCTATTCAGCAGTAAGTCAGAGCTAGGGTGCTAGTTTATAGCCATCTCCTCCTGCTCCACAGGGGATTGGGGCTTGGTGATAGTTTTAACCCTTTCTAGCTTCTCTACAGCCTATGCAGTGATCAGGACATGCATCTTTGCCTCTGGCTGGGTGGGATCATTCTTCTGGGGCCCCTGATGAAAACTCCCAATGTGTGCTTTTTTCCTTTTAGCTCAGGCTCACGGATGAGACTGGCAGACTTTGGGGAACCACTGCTGTATTTACTTAGTAGATGGGTAGATTCTAGAGTGATGTTTCAGAAACATAGATACAGTCATCTCCCCTTTCCAGCAGCCTACTGACTGGAAAGTCAAACATCTCTCCCAAACTGCTCTCTAGAGATTAATTCTTAAAAACCAGTGCAGGATATATATGGCTGTGTTTCACTTCCTCCCCTTCCCCCTCCATCACAGGTCATTGTTCTAGCAGTACAGTTCCTCTCCCTTTCTCCAGATGGAAGTTACAAAGGTGACGTCCCTTCAGCGCTGGTATGGTCTGAGCTGCCCTGCCACATCCATAAGGATGACTGATTTGGTTTTTTTCCCTCTTTCTCAGCATGACAGCACACTTGTGGCACTGCAGATGGCTCTAGATGTCTACAACAAGATCCAAGCACCATACGCCTCATGTCATTTATTTGAACTGTACCAAGAGGATGATGGGTGAGGGCTGCAGTAAAGACGTCTGCTCTGATTTCACCTCAAGGGTTAGATACCTAGGCCAGGCTCCACCCTAGGGGCATGCAGTCTTGCTCCTAGTGGCAGACTCTCACGAGGAAAATTTATGAGAGTAAAGGAAAGGGTGTGCACACTGAGTTTTTGGGAAGGGATGACTTGAGCTAGAGAAAAAAAAAGACAAAAACACATCTTCTTGTGTTTTGTTTTCAGTAACTTCTCTGTGGAGATGTTTTACCGGAATGAGAGTGGGAAGGAACCTTTCCCTCTGACAATCCCTGGCTGTGAGCATAAATGCCCACTGCAAAGATTCTTGCAACTCACAGATCCTGTTGTTCCCCAGAACTGGGAGCAAGAATGCAAGGTAGCCAGCAGCATCCATGACACAGGTGAGCCCAAGCTGGACCAGAGTGTGGCAGAAGGGGAAAGCTTGGACAATACCATGCTGACCATTTGTTTTCTCCCTTGCAGAACTGTTTGTGGGTTTGGCTGTGTGTGGATCCATTCTCCTCCTCCTTATAATCCTCCTCTTGACTGTACTCTTTCGCATACAGTCTCAGCCCCCCGGCTACCGGCATGTTTCCAATGAGGGAGAAGAGCAAGCCTGACAGTTGCTTCAGCTCCTTCCCAGGCAGTAGCAGGGAGCTGTGTTGCCCTTAAGAATGACTGGGCACCTTCACTTACTGAGCCGCCTTCTATTTTGGCCTTTGCTTCCCAGAACAAAGCTGGACTTGATTTTTGGATGCTTTCTAAAGGTGACATCCCAGAGAAAAAGGACTAAGCTACTCTAGTAGAAGTAACACCTTAATTTTGAAGCCAGTATACTGTGTGGTGCCCCTGGTCCTCATACAGCTTACCTAGTCTGGGTAACAACATGGCCAGTTCAAGTTTTCCTCCTTTCAACTGACTGTAAATGTTACCACTCATCATGACTCTGGCAAAGAAGCTTGGGCCTCCAGCAGCTGCCACATCCAGTTGCATTTCTCTTCAGGGTCAACCTGTTCTGAGTGCTTTCCCCTCACACCATAAGGCTGCTGATGGTGGGAAGGCTGGGCTTGGAGCTGAGGGCACAGCTCACCAGCGATGCACCAAGATTCATCTCCTGTCCATGCAGAGGGAACTGCTGCAGGTGATGGGAGACAGTGGAAGTGTTTCTTGAGGTTGCTGCCGAGTGGCTGCTGCCAAGTAGTTGCTGTTGGCAGCTGGTCTTTTTTTCCCTTCTCACCCTGTGGCTCAAGAGAGGACTGGCCTGAAATCAGGGCAAGATTGAAAACCTGGCAGTAGTTCCTAGGATTCAGCTCAGAGTAGAACCATAGAACCCAAAGCTCTTAAGAGCTTCATGAGTGAGAGTAAATTCCTGCAACCATAGCAAACCCACGCTCCATTTCTTGAGCAGTGTTGGCTCTAGAAAGTAAAGTCCCCGTAGATAGGAAAGCTAGGTTCTCTCTAGAGATCCAAAGTTTGAATTTTACTTCCCACCTTTGAACTTCAAGTTCAGGCTTGAGTAAGTCCAACTCGAGTATCCAGTACTGCAGGCAGTCCAGATTTCAGCCCAAGGAATATGCTTCATTAGCAGAATGTTTTTATGCTGCAGATGTAGCAGAGCTGTTTACCTAAGACTAGATTAAATGCCAAGTTCTGTAGTTTTTCTTCCTGTCTTCCCTACTGGATGGACAACAATCAATCAAAAAAACCACCATTAAGGATCAGAGTTGGCAGGTGACTGTATTCCTTTAATTGCCACACTTCAGCATTTTGTCCAAAGTGTGATTCTTTCTCTCCTGGCTGGCCTTTCAGTGACTGCAGCTGCTGCAGGGACTTTCACGCCAAGTGTTCACTACCTGCCTTGTAGCTTTTGGCAAAAAATGAGACTGCAGTGGGCACCAGAAGCACAGGCTCTTCACATGGTGATGCTGCACATTCACTTCCCACTTTTACTTCCCTTTCTGGTGCAGTTCCCTTTCCCTCTTGGCAGCAGAAGCCAGTTCTTAGGCTACAGCCATTTCCTTTTCTTGCCCTAAGGAGTACCATGGGGACTTTTCCCCATACCGTAATCAGCATCTGCCACCATGGGAACTGTAAATCAGCAGAAGTAGCTTGCTGTTCTCAGCATCTTCCTCACCTTTTTGTCCACTGAAGATATAAACGAGGTCTCCTGCACAGCAAGAGAGTAATTTAAAAAAAAAAGCTCCTGCCTGTGAGAACAGGCACAAGAAGGGGGTAATAGAAAGTGCATTGCAGAGGACCAGACCTGTTATTTTTAAAGGCACCAAATTTTGCACACACAAAGGAAACGTTTCTATGATGATTTAGACATTTTGACTGTGAATGACTTCCTGTAATTGCTCCGATACATTTCATTATTAAAATCAAATTCGTGCTGAACTCTACTCGTCATCTTCTCTTACAGTTCATGGGGCTAGCACCAGTGTGCTCAGTGTTGGAAAACAGGCAGAACTTACTGCAGCATATCCTCTCCCAGAGGAATTCCCTGTTTCACAATCCCACATATAGCACAGGGAGAATCGAGATAAGCTATTTTTGACTGCAGCAGCTATGCAAAGATAGAGCTGATAATACATCCTGTCCTACTTGAAGGGGTCCATTGCAGACCTAGTACTATGACTGGTACTTCCACCACTGTTCTAGGTCTCACAGCCCTCTTGTAGAAAGGTCTCAAACTTCTCCCCTACAAATGCAGTTCAGCAGAATACTCAAGGCAGCCACTCTGTATCAAAGAATTTTAGTTTAATACAAAACTTTATTAATACTGCAAAACTATAAAAGTGAACATGGAGAATCTGCGCAGGCCTGGAGCCCATCCCATCCATCAACCTCTGGGACAGCAGCAAGGCCCTGGGCAGCCTTGTAAACAAATCAGAAAAAGCAAAACTTTAGACTTTAACAACAGTCTTGATATTTGGCTCTAAGCAGGGGTGTTTGGAAGAAATTCCTCATTTCTGCTTTATAACACTTTTATCCAACATTCTGAAGCACCTGGGTGAAAAAAATTGCCTAATCAGTGGCAAGAGCCTAGAACTCTGACAATAGAAACTACAGAATCAGTAGGCCCAGCTCCATACTGCCCTTGCATCTCATGAGGCAGGTACACACCTCTGGCATCATCATGTTCTTTGTGGTCCAGTTAAATAGCTGCAAGCACAGAACAGGCTAAGCCTGAGGTCTTGACAAACATTTTCCAAGAAGCTTGCATATGGAAGAGCTTGGTGTTTCCTAGGCTACCTGAGCTATCCATCACCTCAGCCTTGTAAACATTCTACCTTTTCAGGATGTTAAATCCTGTTAGCAAATGGTTTCTCAACGCATTTGGACTAGAACAGGCTAGGGACCCTACCATGAGCTCCTCTAAACCAGACTACAGGAAATGGTAACCTCTGACAAGTGATGACAAGCAGATATGGCAGATTGGAAGCAGTAACTTCAGCAGGATTTGAGAACATCTTTGAAGTTTTCCTAGTGCCTCAGAAAATAGGTGCTAACTCCATTTGCAGGAGGAACCAAGTACTGACACAACTTTCTAGAAGGGGAAGCCAAGAGGATGAGGGAACCAAGATCAGATCCAGGAAGGAGGGACAAAAATCTAATGCCCTGTACAGCTTATACTGCCCATTGGCAACAACTGAGTTTGTACCCTGGGATTCAGAAAGGATCAAAATACTAAATCACTTCTCTAGATCCTTCCCTTTTCGCTTTCTTCCCTTGGATTTAGAATCATTGTTTTTAGTTCTCATGTCGTCCAGCTCCCAAGACAATAACTTAGCTTTGAGTTTGCTTGTGCCAGGGTTTGCCTGCCTCTGCCCTCCACGTCTGGATGAATTCCAGCTTCCAATCCCCTGTTCTGTCATGGCTTTCAAAAGATGTTCTTGCTTCTTGGCCACCATCTCCTCCCGGCTCCAAATCAGAATATTAAAGCCTGAGAAGAAAAATTAAACACTGTGCATCAGAAATTCTACATCAGTCTTAGGCTATGTCACTTAAAAGTCAGAAATTCAAAGGGTTTTGTCTGTTCTAAGGTATTTCCAAGATATAGAGAATGCAAAAATAGTTACTACAGATACTATTTTCACATAGCCATGGAAATCCCATCTAACTAAGAAATAGAAGTAATTTCTAATCTCATCTGTCACAAGTCTAAGATCTCAATCTATAGCCAGCTACCTTAACCCCATACAGCCTGCAAAAAACAGTAATCTTGGCTCTGCAGCCTAGGAAATGAGATAAATTAAATTAAGGGAAAGGGTACACCCTAGCAGAAAAAGGCTTTCCCCCCTCCATTGTTTTCTTCTACTGTTTCATGGCCGGCAGGTGGCAGCGGCTCCCTGCTGCCAGGAGGCTTCCTGCTCCTCTGGACTTGATATTCTCATGAATGTTTCACAGGAGATGGATGACCTGTTTTGCAAGTGCAAAGGTGTAAGACTGAAAAGAAAGTCTTAATCTATTTTACAGATGTAGGAATTTATAGAGGACTACTGGCAAGTGGGATTTGGGAAACCCCCTCTTACAACTTGCTTTAGTACAGAGTAACAAGGCAGCCTTTTTCTGGGACTGGAATCCACCCACGCTTAGTACCCTGAGTTCTCTTTACTTACCTGTGCCAGAAGCCAGTGTGTCTCCCATAGGGTTAAATTTATTGAGCTGAAAATGAAAACACAATCACAGTCTGTAAGAGCATCACTGCTTATATAACAGTCATAAGAGCACCACAGCTTATATAACAGCAACAAACCATCTGGAAAACCCAGTGTTTCCTAGGAGCATCACAAAACCCCCATAGATGATCATGGACTAGCCCTGCTTGAATCAGCAGCTTTAGCTGGCAGCCATATCCCATGACAGCATGAGTCTATCACAAGTAAAGAGGATATTATTCTAGTCACTAACCCATACCTCCTTCCCAGAGATACAGCAGTGTACACAGTCACCCTTTTAGCTGCAGTGCTCAACTCACCGAGATGATACCACAAGCATTTGGATCGTGGAGTTGACAAACCATCTCTCCGGTGTTTCCATCGAATACATCAACAGTTCGTAGCTCATCCATTGTGTACTCTGGGAACTTGGGGTCTGGGTAGCGACCTACGACAATGAGGTCATAGCGAGGATGCCATGTTGCCTAGTCATAGAGCAGAGCGATGTAGAGTTTAGAGAAAGGGATACAGCTCAGTACTGACACCAGACAACTGACGCTGAGCAACACTGTATACATCCCACCCACAGCTTGAGGAACAGTGCTTCACTGGAAGGTGCAGCAGTGTAAATATCCACCCACAAATGTAGTATCTTGACCAGCAATCAGGCCATTTCTAATTTACAGCTGGCTGCTAGTACCAAGCATGATGCTCCTCTGAGACTTAACTCACCTTAATAGGTGTGAGGTGCTGAAAATGCCTGTGTGGATGTGGAATCAGATGCTGTGGCTTGGTCCAGTCTGAAGATGAGTAAACCCTGATTTCATTGCGCTGGTCTGTGCTCAGAAGCTTTGCACCATCTGTTGGGCTGAAGTAAGCTAGGAGAGGGGGACAGCAAGGCAAATTAAAGATCACAATGCTGTGACTGATACGAAACAGAAAAGTCACATTTCTCTGATTGAAAAGCCATTGGTATTTCTTTAATAGGGATTTGAATATGGCTGTGTCTCAACAAACAAGGCTTTACTTGTCTCAAACAAAATCAAGGCTCTTACATACAGTAAGCTGAAACCTACAGTGTGGAGTTACCTAGGAAGAATCATTAGTCTCATTTCAGAATCACAGAAGGAGACATTGTGAAGAAAGGAACACGCTCGTCCAAATGAAAAGGCAGTGGAATAATGAGACAGTCATCTGCAGTTTGGACTTCCATGAACTGGTAAAGTTGCACCCAAGAAACAGAGTCTTATGCTCTACTTTTGTCAAAGGACTGCTCCAGTAAATTCAGTTTTCTAATCTCAGCCACTGCTGATGCTTCCAAACTCACTTCTCAAGGTACAGCACCAGAGTTTGTATGTCAAGTCTTAAGAACGTGCTGCAGCTGCCCTATCCACCTCCCTTCCTCTGGCCACACATTCCCAATGCCCTCCTCCCAAGGGAATCTGAGTAAAACCTCACACTGCCACAACAATAAAACCTGAGCTGAGTGGACTCTCTGCAGATATCCATGCAATTAAATCCTTATCTCAACTTACCTGCATTGACAGGTTTCTCATGAGGAAGCACATGAAGAAAGCTCATTTTGTTTTTGATGTTTCTGAGGTCCCAGATTTTGACTGTCTGATCCACAGACGCTGTGGCCAACAGCCACTCGCATCGGGAGTTAAACTCTACATGAGTCACTTTCTTCCTGTGCAATTTCAGCTTCCAAATCTGCAGCAAACAGAAAATCATAAAAAAAATGACCAAGGTCTGGAGTAAAGAAACGGAATAATCTACTACTACAGGGTAAAGAGGTCTCACATTTACAGAGTAACTAAACTTTTAAAATACACCAAGAGTTTGTTCACTGGAAACGAAAAAGGAAAACAATGACCTTGGGAAATAACTGTTTAATTCTAGGAGAACTATGATCCACCAATTTATTACAGATGTGAGAAAGGAGGATGCAATCCCTGGTTTATGGAAGGAAGTATTAGTGCCACTGTACAAAACAAGATCACATCTAGAAGACTTTAGGCAGAAGGATTAAAACAAAATGGAACAGGTACAACAAATGTGCTGCCAAGATAACAAGAGGAAGCACCTGCTTTGTGTGGAATATCAAAGAACCTTCCTTTGTTTATCTTAGTAAAAATGGTGAGAGGAGATATAATTGGCTTCTAGAAACATATCAGCAAAGAAACATGAGTGTAGGTCAAATATTTCAATTAAAACCAACAAATAAATATAAACTGGCCATGAATAAATTTCCATCCAAAGCCAGAAGATTATTTTTAATCAAAATAATTAATCCCTAAAATAATGGGTATCTCCCAAGTGCAAAAAAGATTGTCATGTTCTTTCAGAAAAAAAAAAAAAAGGAAAGCAAGCAACTAACCTTGAATAACGACAAAGAATTTGGAGCACTCCTGACTCTGCCTGCTAATTTACATAACTGCCTTGTGGCAAACTCTTACAGATGTTACCCATACAGGCAGGAGAGATGGCAATGCCAGTGTGGCAGTACAGCAGGCTCTTCAGAGTCCACTCCAACTATTCTCTCCTATGTGTCTGCACTGCTTCAGTCTTGTCTCTGCCTGCCCTCTCGTGTCTAACGGCAGGAGTGCGATTTCCATCCCTAAGTTCACTGCATTATGGCTGTGTGCCTACTCCTAGGTCATGGAAGGATGTACATCAAAGCAGTATCTCTCAAATGACTCCCATCAGTGCACTAAGTTTCTGGAATTGTGAAGGTTGTTGGCAGAGGATGCTCACATTTTCACATTACCCTATAATTACTCTGGCCAGTAGCAAATACGGTAAGGAAGGGATAGCACATGACACAGTCCCTGTTTGGGACTCACACTCAACAATGTGAAAACATCTAATGGATGGCAGAAGTGGAGGACTTCGCACTACCCAGACAATGGGTGGACTCATCTCCTGAGCTGCAAGGCACTTGCTCCTCTTTTTGGGGTCCCTGTAGTGTAGGAAAGCACATGAAGATTCCCGTAGAGATGATGCTGCATGGAGCCATACGAACCTCTTCACCAGAAGTGCTGAGCAGGACCACGTTGCCCACATTATCACCTGTCACCACTGCACGGCAGCTTGCAGAAACATCCACACTGCAGTACCAGCAACTAGAGGGAAAGACACAAAATCAGTGCTCCTCCCACAGGAAAGTGAAGGTAGTGGAGCTCTGGTTCAGGTCTCATCCCTGACAAGGGAGACTGCAAGAGATTGTAACTGCAATCTCCTGCCCGATGGTGTGGGCCTGAGTATCAGGAAGGATGGCTTATCAGCAGTGCTTTCTGTTGGTGACTGAATATGAAATAACTTCCTAGGCATTTTCGAAGTTCTCACTAGATGGAATGTAACATATTGGGACAGTGAAACATAATAGAGGCTGAAGAGCCACTTGGTGCCTGCACGTGAACATACCTTGGGAAAGATCAGAACACCCCTGGGACAACAACAAATGTGCAGAAACAGCTTTAAAATTACATTTTCCACAAAACACTGAAGCAGCAGTAAAAACAAAAGCTTTGTACTGAAAAGTTGCACCTCAAACTATCTCAGCTTTATGCTCCAGGAAACAAAACTTAATAGAAACTTATCTGATAAAGACATAGGTCTTAACCCCAGGTCTGCTGGGAGGGGAAGGGCAGTGATAATAAAGCTGGGATCCTTTGGGAACTTGTTGTGAAAACTTTACTTTCAAGATAAATTATTCTAAGAATTCAAGGCCATGGAAATGAACATTGTGAGCCTGAAGTCTCCAGAAGAGCCACAAGGTAAACTCAACAACCTGAAAGATGGCACAGGAATGTTTTGTGGCTTTCCTATGCTACCTGAGCTGCTACAGACAAAACAGACCAGTGGCAACAATGAAGAGGAGGAAGTTACCCTGCTCTTCTCACTTCACATTTTATAAAGTGAAAAGCTATCAATATCTGCAAGATACAAGATGGCATCACCAGAAAGCAACACCAGAAGATGCAGGCAGCACGCTCAGCTACTGTAAAAGTGTAAGTGCCCTGTGCTGCCCTGCCCTGCAGTGCTAGGTCAGGATCAGGACTCTGTCTCCAAGCTCCCTCCTGGGACTAATTCATACCAAGAGTCTCCTAACACTGGCAAAGATGAAGATGTTAGAGATCTGAAGAAGTAGTGCAGCATTAACCCCAAGGAACAGAGATTCAACCTTGCCATGCCCTCTTCTCACCAAACATTATGGTGCTCATGGCCACAGTCCGGGGCACGAGAGATCACCTGCACCGCTCTGCTCTCAAGGTCCTGCAGACTTAGGGTGCCATCACCTGATGCCACATAAAGCTTCACTGCCTCATAAGGACTGAACTTGATGTCTCCAAGAGAATCTCCAGCCCCTTTCTGAAATACACACAAAGCCAAGAGGCATCAAGGTTAGAGTGGAAGACAAAATCTTAATACAACAGTCACCTCCTGGAACACACTGCCAGTTTCCCTAGGCATAAGCACTGCTTTCAGGCAGAGAAGACAGATAAGAACTTTTTTTCTAACCTCTTCCCAATCTGGTTACATATATTCCGAGCCTTTTAAGCTCACCCTCACCACGCTGCGCTGCAAACTTCATTAGCAGCTGCTTCTGTTATGGGGATAGGACTAAACTGCAGTGAACCACCTGGCTCAAACCAGGCTTAGGAGATCACAAGCAAAAACACCACCATCCCATGCATAAACCACAAAAAATCTCATGACAGTGCAGCCCCAAGCTTTTCTTAGAGAGACTTCATCACTAGTTACCCACAGGCTGTATCTGGTCTTTCTCAAGGTACCAACAGGCAGGATGAAACTGTTGCATAGAGAAATCTTACTGCTAACCCCGTGGCACAGGAATCTTGTGTTATGTCATATTGTTATGTTGTTTTCCCCCAGTCTGTCTACTGAGGAAACTTGGAAACCCTACACAATGACAGAAAAGAAGACCAGTACCTGGGATTCCCCAAACTCTTTGATACTCAAGTGCACTCCATCTGCTGCTCAAAGAAAAACTACTTAAGGTCTGTAAATACTAGATTTCAAGAAGCCAATGAAGATTAAAAAAAGGCCCACCCATAGAGCCTGCCTGTCCTCACAGCAGTGTAAGGAGGATGGCATGCCCTTTCAAATCCAGACATCATTGCTGCAACAGTCATCCCACTGGGATCCTTGTGTCCCAGGACCCAGTTTATTTCTCCTTGCTCACCTGGCCAGTCATCCCAGCACTGCCTGGGTTCGCCTTCTGCGCTATTACAAGATTGCAGGTGAACAGCCAATTTGGAAAACAACCATAAAAGCTGCCACCCGGAAAGAATCAAGTGGGGAAAAGTAATGCAGAAGCTAATCCAAATTCTCTCACTTACCTTTAAGCACTGAATGGAAGTAACTAATTGGAGAGTTGAGGCTTCCTCATGAGTCCACAGAAAAAGCAACAGTCTGAGAAGGTAATTCTTAGAGCTGCCTCTAACAATTCATCTCCCCTTTTCACTCACTACTAAAGGAGCCCAGACTCTTAATTTTGGTATTTTGGGTAAGCACCAAAAGCTAGGTGGAATGAATTGGTGTGATCCTTATGGCATGCACTGCTTGAAGTCAGTGGCATTAGTGGTGAAGCACAGAGAGAACTATGAATTGTCATGTAAAAACCATCTGACAACAAGCAGCACTGCTAGCAGGTGAAGAGGTTAGAGGGTCTGTAGAGCACTGAGTTTTGGGAAGTTTTAAGAACAGACAGCTGAGGAAATCCACTGGCATCCTCACTCTCTCATGTACAACAGGAAGTAAGCAGAATCAAAGAGTCCCTCCCCTTCGGTGAAGAAAAGCTCTCTCCTACCCACTACCCCATTTCAGGGAAAAATAAAAAGAATGAGCCCCCCTGAATTCAGAGGATAGAAGACATGTATGTGGGGAAGAGGAAGCCCAGCTCTCACATATTCAAGACAAACATCTCTCTCTCTCTCTCTCTCTCTCTCTTTCTCTCTCTCTCTCTCTCTCCCTGTAGTGCTCCTGCCAGCAGGACACAGAGGCCCAAAGCATTACTGTGTTCTTACTCCCAGTCCTCGGTGCTGGTGAAGACCCGGACAGTATTGCCATTAAAATCCTGCAGGGTGGTAGTGCCGGCAACTGATGAAGTGTACAGCTGACTAGGGTTAAAAGGGTTAAACTTCATTCCTGTGATGGCCCCTCCAGCTCCCATCTACAAGGAAGGGGATGAACAAAAGAAAAATCCACTGAGTGACGGGGAAGGAGAAAAGTGTGTTCTGTAAGTCTGCATTCACTGCTATGTCTATAACAGCAACAGTGAAACACACCACAGTCCTCTACACAGGCAAAGATAACCATGTCTCCCACATGACGGCTGTCTAGACAGCAGCCCTCCTAGAGGACAAATATGCAACTCCTTCAGTCCCCAGGCAAGGTATTCCCTTGCTGGCTTGCACTTCACTATTTACAAAAAGAGAAATATTACTCTGGAATTTCTGGAGGATAGATCTCTCAATGTATATCTATGTTAATTTAGAAAGGCAATAAAAGTTAAAAAGTCTTTGAGCCCCTGTTGGAATGGGAATGGCTGAATAAAGCAACAAGGGGGTATGCCAGCTGTATAAACCATTCATTCTACCTTAGTTTCTCCCTTTAGATAAAGGCACTTTGTCTCTCCCCACTCAAAGATGTTTCTTCATCTGATACAATAAAAGGTGAGAAAGATCAAGACCTAAGGCAGACTGACCCTCTCTGCCTAGTCGTTCCTGGCATCCCTTTAACACAACTGTTTTACCAGTTGCTGTATTATTTTTCCACTGAGCACACACCAAGTATTGCTTCATTATGAACTTAATTACCACGCCTCAGTTCTCCCCAGTGCTAGAACAGTCTGGGACTTAGGATCAGATATGCTGTTGCATCTCAGTCCTGCCCTGTAACAGACTACTCTGAAACCCAAGACCCTTATGTGCTTCTCACAACAGACCTTAGTTTTTATCTGCAGTATTTTGTGGTACCCCAGTTTTCCCTCCCACCCATTCCACACACACAGGCTTACCCCCTTTATGAAGCACGTTTTAGTAAGTACTTCATAGTCCCAAAGGATGATGTCTCCACCTTTGGAACCGACAGCTACTGTACTGGGGTGTGTTGGATGCCATTCCAAGCATGTCACTCTCCTGTCAAAGGGACTTGCTGTTCGAAAGAGGCGATATGAGGCAAGAGAACGCAAAAAAGGCAGCTGCAGACACTGTTAAAAAGGTAAAGAGAATTATGACTTTTGCAGGTATCCCTGAGATTCTCTGAATGACAAGTGCTAACAATTTCCAATTGTCATTAGTGTTAGTACGTTCACACAAAATTCTAAACATCTCTGTAAAACTAAGAGAATGAATGCTGAACTCGAGGGAAACAGCCTGTGACCACACAAATCCACATCAGCCACAGCACTTGGAAAGCAACAGAGAACTGAGAGATACCATATTTTAAATGATGTACAGGGTTAGGAGACTGTGGGCTGAGCTAAAATGCAGAGTAATTAACAAGGGAGAAGAACATGCCTCCACACCAGGAAAAGGCACTTATGATTATCTATGTCTTTATTGAGCATCTCAAAATGTTACATCCAGAGATACAATATTATGGTCCTCCATCCAATTTTTCTGCAGCTCAACTACACAACATAGGAGTGAACAGAACACTTGAAATAGGGAATGAGAAACGATGACATATTGCATTGTTGTTCAGTTGAAAAACAGGTACTGCTTCGATGAGCTTGGCAATTTATCATTTGGACACTTAAAATACATAAATCATCAGGAAGATAAAGCTAGCCCAAGTGCCTCCCACCTATGGATGTTATGGAAAGAGTTAATTTTCAAATGAAAGGTGTATGGCTCTGGAAAACAGTAAAACATTATGGACTTGATGGACTACATCTGTGAAGAGGTAAAAATCAACACTAAACCTGACAAGACTAGCAAAGCAGAGTGGATACAAGAATAGTACGACAAAACAGTCAGAGCAGCATGCAAATGTATCACTGTGCGATTACTCAGCTGGTAGACTGGGCAAGTTTAAACATGATTCAAGGAAGCACTGAATTAACAGAGGATAAAATGTAGATGACAGCGCTGGGTCAACCAAAAGGGAAAGCCATCTCATCTCTTGCATTTTACACAACTAAGAAACATAAGAGTGCATCATACTTGGAGCCTCAAACTGTATAGGAGAACTTTAAGCCCCTTTAAGTTTTCCTGCTTGTGTTGAAGGTTTTTTTATGTAGGGAGTTACGTCCAACAGGTCAAGAAGAAGACACTCCTCACCTGCCTGAGTGGTGCCCGAATGGAGCCTCCCAGCATGTTCTGGTAGACATAATGAACAATGCTGCGCTGCTGGTCCAGCTGATGGGAGAGGACTCTCTTGTTTCTCACCACAGACCCACCTCCGCTCCAACCTGCCAGATTGGAAAAGAGTAAAACTTACTGATAGGCAACTCATTCACTTAACAGTATGGGAAGACATCTGCATTTGCTGCTATACCCATGAAAAGCTTCAGCCACAAGATAAAAGTCTCTAAATAGTTCTTATATTTCTTAAGGTACAGCAGCTTCTGCAACTGTAGAGTCCAGTGGTTCCCATAGACTGCCAGAGCTTTGTGTATGCTTCATCTTGTTAAACCTTCCTTCTCTTTGCCAAAGATTTATCAAGGACAACAGGAGAGCACTAAAGCAATACTACAGGTGGGTGGTGCATCTCTTGGACAGTGTACAATTTGAATGGTTCAACCCAAAGCAAAATGCTGCCACCCAAAACCCCAACAACTTGTAAATATGCCATGGGAGGTGGTAAGCCCCGGCACCCAGCAAAAGAAAAGTCAGACGTGTGACCAGCAGAAACACCTGAAAATTCCCCAAGCATAGCACTGCGAGTTCCCACCCAGTTCCTGAAATGCCTGCTTGTGAATCAGAATTTTCGATCTGCCTGTGCTGGAGCCTGTACAGCCTGCCCACAGCACTGTGAGTTTTGTTTTTGATAATAGACTTGCTGACGCCACATCGCCTGAAAACATTTCTGTTCAAAGTGATTTTTGCTGAGAGTACAGCTTGTTTCTACATTTTGTTCATGTTCCAAGTTTTTATCTTTAGGGACTTTTACGTAAAAACTAGATCTGTTCAGTCCCATGACTGTGATCTACTCATCCCCACAGCGATGGTCTGTAACACCCCAGGGGATCCAGAAGTCAAATGCATTTCTTAAGAAACATAAATGCAATTTTCATTTAAGGATATTTATTAAAAAAAAAGAAAACAGAAGACTGAAAACACATGGATCATTCTATATGACCAGAACCTAAATGAAATCTTTCTTTAATGCAGTGGTGGAGCCCAGAAATGCACAGGTGTGAAACTGAACTTCTCTGTTCACATGCCAACATAGTGCCAACATTTGTCACACCTGCTGAAATAGGTATAAAAGTATTTATATTCTAATTTATATTTTTCACAGAAGAATTAGTATCCACAGTTCCTTCCTCAGAGACGACAGAAATTCAGGTATTTTTTCCAAATTCCATTCTACAATGAAGGATAATTTGTTAAGAAACAAACTTCAGACCTTTTTAGAATCTGCTGGAAGAAATCCTTCAAAAAGGCTGTTCTAATTGCAAGAAACAGAAACTGTCCTATATGGCTCAGGAGAAAAAAATGTTTTTTTCAAACACATAAAAAGTGGAACACAGAATTGAAAAGTTCAAATACAAAGGTCTTCATCTTTTTAAAAAAGGGTTAAGGGAAAAATATGATTGGCCTCATTTTTCTGAAGTACTAACTACATCCAATTACCTCTGAATCTTACAGGAATGGCAGATGCTTACCAAATCTGAAAATCAGGCCATGGATTTACAATAAAATCATGTAGCTAAATTAACTACAGAAGATGCTCTAACTATCCACAATTACACACAGAACTCCTTTCAAAGAGTATTTCGTCTCCACTGTTCACACTGCTAACTGTTCCAAGTTTGGACCTACAGACCACACAATGGAAATGTTTAAAATCGTAAAACCCTTGTATCTTTGACTGCTGAAATGCACTTCAGTATTTTCTGGTTCCTTAAAGCCAAAATTGTACAGAAAGTGTGTAGTATCTCCACACAAGGCAGTAGCCCCAGTGATCTTCTAAACCATTGATGGAATTACAGGTCTTCTGTGAAAAAGGAGGCTGAAGGGAGACTTTCTCTCTCTACAACTACCTGAAAGGAGGTTGTAGCAAGGGAGGAGTCAGTCGCTTCTCCCAAGGAACAAGTGATAAGACAAGAAGAAAAGGTCTCTAGTTGCACTAGGGGAGGTGTAGACTGGACATTAGGAGAAATTTCTTCACTGAAAGGGTTGTCAAGCATTGGAACAGGCTGCCCAGGGAAGACGTTGAGTTACCATCCCTGGAGGTATTTAAAAGACATGTCAACATGGCACTTAATGACATGGTTTAGTGGTGGCAGTGCTGGGTTAACGGTTGGACTCGATGATCTTAAAGATCTCTTCAACCTAAATGTCTCTATGAAAAGTCCTTGCTGTAGGTAAAGTCTAGTCAACTTTCTTGATAATTCAAAGCACTAAACTTTCCAGTATATTAGAAATTAATCACCTCTCCACATTACATCAAAAATCTTTAGATTTTTTTTATCTAAGTTACATAGTAAAGGAAAAAATTGCACATGATGACAAGTGATTAGTAGAAATTCTGTCCATTCTACTCTAAACATAGAAGTAGAAAGTATTCCTAGTTACTGCAGTAAAAGTTAAAATATGCAAAGATTCGGGAGAAAATGCCAGTTTAGACTGCATGCTGCAGAATACCAACCTTATGACTACTAAACTGCATTAGGAATTGCATGAGAGAAAAACGATGTGTTACCAAGACTGGTCTGCTCTACACTAAAGCAGAGATCTGGTAATATAGGAATTCCACAAAACTTAACCACCCTCAAATGACAGCATCTTCAGAGAGCGTGCTTTCGCCAAGGGGTACAGGTCTCAAAAATTAAACATGCATGCATGCACACGCACTCACTATACAGAAAACTGGAGGATGTACTACTCCAATACATGCCCACCTATCACTTGAATATATAACACCATCTGAACACTCATGTCTGAACACATTTCTTGGCATTCTCCCTCTTTAATTAGTCAAAGCCTATCATTTGCAGTAAGTCTGGTAGAGAGAAAACAGTAAGGATCTGAGGAAATGTTACCAATTTTCCCTGGGGGTTTAGATGTTTTTCTCACAAACAACCTCTTTGCTTGTGTCTCATTCCCCAGTTTCTCATAGTCCGCTTTCCTCTTCCCAGCTGATTTTGCCTCTTCTGGCCAATGCTGATACACCCTCTCACACTCCTTGTCCTTTGGCTGGTTCACTGGAGCCATCCTGTCTGACCACTGAAAGCAAACAAAGCAAGGAAGGTAAGACTGTCACACACTTCTAACTAGAGAGCAGAAAAGAAAACTGGAATGAAACATGCCAGTGGTCTGAAAGTATTGATTATTATACCTGTACCCTCTTTCATCAGTATAGCACTGGCTTTTTGTTGTGCCCTGCTGAAGAGGGGAAGAGGTTCAATAAACTCTTCTTTGTTCACCTATGAAAAATAACGTATCCTAAAGCACTAGAGTATGTTTTGATAGATGTTCTTCTACCAAACTTTTAAGCCTGAAACCCACAGATCTGCATAAAGTAAATCTGTGAAACCACATAATATCCTAACTTTTTCAGTAGTAGCTAACACAGAACTCTTCAGATTCAGCTTTCATGATGATGGCCTGGGCTGACAGATCTTCCAACAACCGTGCTCAAAAGGCATTTCCAGTTTAGCGGCCACTTTTACTCACAACCACCACCTGGTATTTGGATTGGGCTCCCGCACTGGCTGGCAACCACACCCGGGCTGCTCCACCGAGAGCGACGGGATGCAGCCCCTCGTGTCCCGTGCTGTGACGACCACAAGGCCACCAGGCCCCTGAGGAAAGGCGCGGGCCTCCCACAGCCTCCCTCGCAGCCGGCGGGCGATGCGTCACACGCATCCCCCCGGCGGATCCTCCCCGAAGCACATCCAGGGGCTTATCCCGTGCTCGCGATGAACTTATTTAGAATTCCTAAATGGCTGCCACGGCTATCTATATTTAAATATACGGCTATATACAAATACAGCTCGGCGGGCACCCCGCAGGCTTCCCCAAATAGCGCACGCTCGGCGGCTCCGGGCCTCGCGGGGCCGCCCCACAGCCCCGGCCCGGCCCGGCCCGGCCCGGCCCGGCGCCCCTGCGGCCTGGCCGAGAAAGGCCGCCCCGCTCTCACCTGCGCTCCGGCGGCCTCGGCTCCCCCGGCGCCGCCGCGGTTGGCGGGCGGCACCGGCCCCTCCCCCGCGGTTTCATAACCGGGGCGGGAACGGGGGTCAGCGGCCCCCGCCCGGCCCCGGGGAGCAGAGCCGAGCCGAGCGCGGCCACGGTGGCCCCCGCCCGCCGCTCGCCGCTGAGGGGCACCGGCCTCGGCAGGGGGAAGCCGGAGAGGGCGCGGGGTGCCGGCCCAGCCCCTGCCCGCCTCCACCGCCCTTACCCCTGCCGGCCTCCCCGGCGATCAGCGTGGGCAGCACCTCCGACTCCGCCGGAGCCGGACTGCACGGGAGGCGGCTGCAAGGTGTCCGCTGTCTGCCTGTTGTTGTTTCGGTGCAGCACTCAACAATCTTACGTACCTTATTGGTTTCTAGAGCACCAAACTGGCTTATTAAAACTGGTTGATAAGGGCCCCAGATACAGTAACCAACAGCAACTAAAAAAAGATACTATTTCAAAACACAACTTACACAAGAAAACACACCTGGTGTCAGAAACCAACAGAAAAAAAACGCGCTTCAAAAGCATATAAAAACGTCACGTCAAGAGCAGCTCGGAGAGTACCAGACCTTACATGACGAAGCTGACAAGAATGGGGAAGGAAGAGCCCTACCAACACAGCGGAAGGTACCAGCACTTCCCCTCCACCTGCAGAGGGGCCGTGTTGCGTGGCGAACTTTATCCCTTACCTCCGGAGCAGTAGCATCCCAGGCTTCAGGCCTCCCAGTGCCTATGCTCAGTAATTAAGGTGCAGTCACCCACAGCTGGCTATGAACACAGGTCCTAAAATATCTGTACATAGCCATGCCTTGAACTGTGGGGCTTTAGGGTTTCGTTTTGAGTGTTGGTATTTTTTGTGCTATAACTATAGTTACCTATGCATTTTCTCGCATATTAGGAAATGCACAGAAAAACTAATGGAAAAACAATAAGCGCCCAGTCTCTATGCTTTTTCCCAGAACAGTAACAAAGTTGTATTAGTTGCTGCCATCCTGTATTAGAATGCCATACACAAAAATGATAACCACAGACAAACACAATCTGGCTTTGAACATATATATCAACCCAAACAGCAAGTCTTAAAGTCTTACCAGGCACTTCTCTAATACACTCCATTCTTCTTAGAACTGTATCCATTAACAAAATACAGCAAGAGGAAAAAATGAACACAGCACTTCCCTTCTTGCTTCTGAAGCCTCAAAGGTTTGATTTCTGGGAAGAAAAACTACTATAGAAAAAAAAAATCTTCATATCTTGACAGTGATCAACACTTTCTTCAATAGATCTGTGGAAGTCTTCATCATAGGATCCCAAAGAAAACTCTGATGGTTATCCAAGTTATCTCCAGCAAAGATGTGCACCTCCTGTCCCCCCTCCATTTGTCTCCCAGCAGAATTGTCCCCATGCAGAGCACGCACAGAGTAACCTTCATATTTCCCTATTGGAGCTATCACAGTTAGCATTTTTCAGAAGTGGAATGGAATAGAATAGAGTAGAATAGACTGTTTCATATAGAAGGGACCTACAATGAGCATCTAGTCCAACTGCCTGACCAGTTCAGGGCTGATCAAGTCAAAGCCTGGTATTAAGGGCATTGTCACAATGCCTCTTAAACACTGACAGACTGTGGCATCAACCACTTCTCTAGGAAGCCTGTTCCAATGTTTGACTACACTCTCAGTAAAGAAATGCTTTTTAGTATCCAGTCTAAACGTCCCCTGGTGTAGCTTCAAACCTTTCCCATGCATCACTGGATACTAGGGAGAAGAGATCAGCACCTCCTTCTCTACTTCCCCTCCTCAGGAAGTTGTAGGGAGCCATGAGGTTACCCCTTAGCCTCCTTTTCTCCAAACTAGACAAGTCCAAACTCTGGACCCATTTGAGGACTTCAACACCCTTAAATTCTGGCCCCCAGGACTGTACACAGTACTAAAGGTGAGGCTGCATGCTAAAAACAGTGTTTGTATCAATGTCTAACACCAAGTTTACTTTCTCTCTAGAGAATCACCATGCTGTAGTTTTTATCCACTAAGGACAAGAACAGCAGACAGTACACAGTTCATCCACAGAAAAAATGCCACTGGCCTGGGGTCCCAGAGCTCAGTGTCTGTATGGTACTCTGAGCAGGCCAGAGAAAGACTAATTTGAGAAAATATTCTTATATGTATTTACAGTTTCACACTCTTTGAACTACAGTATGCAGCAAAGTCAGAGGAGTATAATTCTGTGGGGGCAGGATATTAGGCTTATTTTTATGATGCCTTTTGTCTGATGTACAATTATGTTGAGGCTGTGCCGCAGTTGCAGGTTGTGGTTCTCTTCCACAGAATAAAGCTGTCTTGTCACCGGGTCTGGTAAAGCTAAATTATGATTAAGATCAACTTCATGGTATTGGTAATACCATTAGGTGTCCTCCTTGTTGCCAAGATCTTTGTCCAAAGCACAAATGGTTTTGGCTACTTTAGTTTGACTACTAATGTATACCATTACAGCAACTAGATCTTGCCGTGCACGTAAAAACAAGTCTATATTCCACTAAAAAGTAGGAAAAAATATATAATCCTAAGAAGATAAAAGAGAAAGAGTAGATATCACGCTATCTGACCTCCTATCCCACGACCATTGCTAAGCTGCCTGCACCAGGAAAATGAACAAAAATATTACAGTTGTTATGACCTCATTTACCTGAGCTCCCCATCTTCCCTAAGCCACTCCAGCCTTGGAACAAGGCTTGCAGCAGCCATGCTATGGAGTACCCTCACCTTGCAATCAGTATTAGCAGCGCCCAGGTCCCAAATGGACGTTATCTATCTTGGATGCTCAGTACGTTGACTATCAATATAGAAATCAGCACGAAAACATAGCAAAGGCAATCGCTGGATATAGAATATTAATGCATGAGGTGTTTGCCTTTTCTGTACTTCATTAAGATACATTAGTTTGATAATGGAATGAAAAACTCAGAACATAATTGAATTAGGGAGTACCTATGTCAAAGACTTGAGTTTGGTTATGTTTTAGTAAAAACAAAGTTGTTGCTTATAGGCTCAACTGTGATTAACTTTGAGGACAAGATAAGCATCTTTCCTCACTTCCTGAAAGGAAGTGGTCACACCCCAGCCAATGACCTGCCATGGGTGCCCATCTTCCAGGGACCGCGCACTGAGGATTTGCCTTAAAAGAATTTAAGTGGAATGGTTCCTAACATCCACTTTCCAACACAGCAATGTGAAGGGCATCAGTACAGGTAATTTCCTGGGTCTTATGAAACCTGGGGCAGTTGTAAAGAAAAAACATCCAAGTACTGCTCCAGAGAAGTGGAAGTACAGATTTATGGCACACTCTTTCCTCTCTTCCTCCTGCAAGGCTCTCAGTCTTTCTTTTCTCCACCAGTTGAATAAACATCACTGTAAACCCACAGCTGGTCCTTGGAATTGTGTCCCAAGTCACTTGGAAGCAGTCAAGAGGAGGCAGGTCTCCCAGTGCTTCTCACAACAGCCTTGCCCCAGCGTCATGGTGAAATCGCACCTGGGGCCTGGCGTTAGAAATGGAATTGCTGGCAGGCAAACTCCCTGGCATTCAGAAACACCTGGTGTCATCTTAAAGGCTATGAGGGCTTAAAGACAAGGTCCAGATTATTCAGATAGAGGTTTTCAGAGGAAAGGGAGAGTGACTGAAAACAGGATTGGGCTGAAAGATGGATGCCAAGCCAAACCGAGGTGAAGACAGTCTTCAAGCCCAGGGAGAGTGACCCATGTCATGCTCACAAACAAGAGCACAGCATTACACTCGGGTAGGAGCTGGCCTTGGGGAACCCGCTTGGGACTCCTGCTCCACCACACCGGAGGCCAGCTGGCCGGCAGGGCACACGGGGGAACTAACTTAAAACCGACTAAAGCTCCAAAGCCAGTGGGCAACACAGACAGGAGCCCAACTCCTCACGGCAAGGCCGAGAGGGCAGCTCCTCGCAGGGCCGCCACCCTCCCGCTCCCGCCGTCCACCACAACCGGGGGCCCGGCCGCTCAGACCTCAGCTGGCGCCCTCCTCAC